CTTTCTTTCTTATCTCCCTGTTACACTGACTTTTATTTCCCCGCTGTTCAAACAGGACGTCTCTGTTCATGGAATTCTGGAGGAAATGTAGCATGTACTGCTTTTAAAACTCAGGCCAGGCCTGTTACTTTGTTTTTCTTTCTGTTTCTTGTTCTTTCTTAACAGAATTATAATCTTGGCATCATCTCCATTGCTATAACCTGTCCACATCATCCTCAGAAAAATGTAAGCTTTAATGTAAACGGCATTTCTAACTGAGATCGCCTCGAAATGTTTAACTGTAGCATTATACTTAACTGATTTATTGTCAAGTGTATGAAAACCCAGAGACTAGCCTATATGGTATATGTTGTGTGACTTTCTTTCTTTTCTTTTTCTTTTTTACTTGCTTGCTGTATTGTGTGTATGCAAGAGTGAAAGAAAAGAGAGGGAGTATGATTGTGGAGCAATCAGAGTTATATTACTGGTATTGGATTATAGAAAATTTATGCAAAAAAAAAAAAAAAGAAGTTTTAAAGTCACCCCTGAATTTAATATCCATTGTATCAGAGGTCACTATCACATACTTAGATTTGATCATCTCCATTATTAAAGATATACTTATCTGTTCTCTGTGGGGTTTTATTGTGACCAGGATTATACGTGCACGATTAAGTTAATATTAGATTCCAAAATAACAAATTTCGCTACAGTATACAACGGCCTAAATTTAAATAAGAACAAACCGACAAAAGTGAAACCATTTGAAACGCATTTTTAATATAATTGCAGCACCTCTGATACAAGATCTCTTCTTTTGATTCCTTCACGAAATACTGCTTTAAATATGTTGTTTTACTCTCAACATCACACTTGTTTGGCTTTAAAGCACTATTAACCAGAACGATTTTAATTGTGTCTCTTTGCTTTATTAAATTGTCATTTATCATGAAACATCGTGTGTAAATGGACTGACAGCCACCAAGTAACATGTGTTTTTGGACAGCAATGGTGCTCCATCAGGCTTTGGAGTACACACACACACACACTTGTTAGTCGGATCAACTCATTTTTGGTTTGGGTCTTTTCATGGGATTTGTCGACAAGACAAATATAGAATATGACCGTTTATCCTTTGAATTCCCTTTGTGCTGCGCTGTTGACACACAAACACTTAAAAATATATTTTAAAGGGATGTAAAAGTGATGACATTTAGGTTTGCAAGAAGAAAAAAATGAAAACACTCCACTGCAAGTGAAGTTCTGCATACAAAACCTTATATTTAAGTATCAAAAGTAAAAGTAGTCATTGTGCTGTAAAATGTTCACTGTCAGTGTTTGATGTTTTTGGATTAATATTACTGCTGCATTCATGTATATGTTGCACTTTACAGCTTATTTAATTTTTAACTATATACTGTCGTATAGTTCAATATACAACAGTGCAACACATTCTATAAGATCATGTGTTTAGCATCGCTGTCCTGTGAAAAAGAGAACTCATCATTGTGAAGATGCATTTTCCGTCTGATACAGGTTTTTAAATAGTTAATTCATATATGAATGAGGATGATGTGCTCCTATTAGAAAATTATCACTAGTAGTGGGATCATTTTCTAATAGGAGCACATCATCCTTCAGTTTAAAATAAATGTTCAAATTCTGAATCACCAAATTCTGACATAGTTTTCACTGGTCAGGAAATGTATGAAAAATTATAATCTGAAAACGTACTAATTAACTCAAGCCGTCAGACATATGAAGAGCGGTAAACGGTACAATAACTAACATTTTTTCATACATGATACAGGAATCTTAAAATTGTCAACGTATATCTTTTAAAAATATATATCATTATTTTTCTTCTTTTGTCATTAGGTCTATTTGACTTTGCAGTCCAGGAGGTGGTGTTCAGTACAGCTGACTTGGGTCTGTAGTAATTAGTTATTGTGACAAAAGATATACTCAATATCAACCTCACACCCATTGTATTGCTTTATGTGTTTAATATCCTTCCAAACACAAGTAAGTTTATACATTTAAACATACCTTTAAACAGGTATTATACCTGAATACCTTTTAAAAAGGTATTCAGCAACAATAAAGGTAATCAGCTACAGTTTGATGTGATGTGTTAATTGTTTTAAAAGTAATTTATCAAGCATAACTCCAATAACTCAGCTTTTAAAATCACAGTAAACTGAATTGTTGGTCACACAAAACAAGACATTTGAAGGCATCACTTGGGCTGCATTATATTTCATTATTGATTAATCTGCAGATAATTTGTTTAATTTGTAGTAATCGTTTTTTTCTTCTTAAAATGTCAAAAGATAGCGGGGAAAAAAGCCCATAGGTGACGTCTTTAAATGGCTTATTTTGTCCAGTCCAAAATCTAAATATATCAATTTTACTACAATATATGGGCAAATCCTTTCAGTGTTTGTCATTATTAGAAACCACAAACTGTCCACGTTTGGAGTCATTGATTTATTTGACAGCCTTATAGTCTTTACATTTCAAGTAGAAAATCTGCAAGAAAAACAATTGTAGTTTGGTTAAATGTTGGTCATGATCGGTCAGAAAACAGGCAGGCTTTGTTCCTCTGAGCACAGGCATCTCTCTCTCTCTCTCTCTCTCTTTTATAGCCTCTCTCTCTCTCTCTCTCTCTCTCTCTCTCTCTCTCTCTCTCTCTC